ACCACAGTTTTCCTGCCACTGTGTTAGTCATGCTGGTATACTGGTCAAGCTTGAGACAGAGTCATCCACTGGCCTCCTTACTTTGGGGGTGATTTTTGTTTTAGACCATCAGGAAGCTAGGAGGAAGAGAGCTAAGAGGCCAAAACCTGCTTGCCTGTCCAAGGGGCAAGCTTGCTACCAAGAATCCATAACTACTACTTCTCCTACAATGCTTCCTAGCCCACCAGTCATGACCTCCCTTTCCTTAATATTCCCATAGGGGGTGGAAGATGAACTACCAAATCTTTACCCTTTTAGAGGCCTCAGCTGAGGCAGAGACTCCATTATTCAGGGCAGGCCAAATCAAGTCTCCTTCCCTACCATCACCAGAAAGCAAGCTACCTCCCAATAGCAACCCCTCCATCCTCTAAGCCCTTCCTAGGAAAGAGCTGTCCAATGGGTACCATAACAGCAGCAACATGGGGAAATTTTGTCAGTTGCAGATTACAGTAGGCTTGCCTTTTCAAATGTCTATGGCAATGTCCATTCCCCTGAGGCCTGCATGGCTGCTTACTCTGCTGCCAGCGGGGCCTGGAGCATGGGACATCTCATTTCCTGCTGCCCTTGGACCCCCCACCACCTCCAATTGCCACTAGGTTCCTCACTGTCCATTTTGCTGAGTCCAAGTAATATCCCAACACCCTGCATTGTGCCTACCCACCATTAGGGGACCACCAAGCCCCCTAATCACAGGGGTATTACATGGTGAGGTAGATAGAGTGCAGGGCCTGGAGTTAGAAAGAAAAGTGTTTGGAGCAGGTAGGTGGTGCAGATCCGGCCTCAGACACAACACTTACTAGCTGTGTGACCCTGGAAAAGTCACTTAACCCCATTGCCTAGCAAAAACCAAAAACCAAAAAAAAAAAGAAAGAAAGAAAGAAAGAAAGAAAAGTGTTCAAATCCAGCCTTATACACTTACTAGCTGTTTGACCCTGGACAAGTCCTTTTAACCTCTGTCTGCCTCAGTTTCCTCAACTATAAAATGGGCATAACAATAGCACCTACCTCTGAGGGTTGTGGAGGGGGATCAAATGAAATGCTATTTGTCAATCACTTAGCACAGTGTCTGGCAAGTATTAAATGTGTAATGAATGCTTCTTTCTTTCTTCTTTCCTTCTTTCTTTGGCTTGAGGTCTTTACCTCTGTGTCAGTAGAGCAATGATGAAGAATCTCCCCTTGCTGGGATATAATCATGCTCCTCCCCCACTGAACCTGGCCAAGCACTACTATTGGTGCTGCCACCATGGGGACCTGGCACCTCCTCCCTTTGCCAGGGCTTAAGCAATGCCCCGCTGTGCTTGACACCACTGTGGTCTGTTTTCCTTCGAGTGATGGCACTGGAGACCTGTTGGAGTCTCAATAGTGACCCCTGTCCTAAGACCTGACCAATACGAGGCCATACCACTGTTGGGACCCGAGAACTACCCAATGAGGAGGCCTGAGTGCTGTTAATGTCCTCTTCTCCCAGGGCCAAGCTCCTGCCAGGTTCTACCACTCTTGCATTCTGAGCACTGCCTCCCTCTGCCAGGCTGAGCCCCACTATAGATGTAGCTGCTGCCCTCCTATTCTAAGATTTGCTCTGGAAACCATCCCACAGGGGCTCCTCACTCACTCCTCAATAGAAATTCCAGAGAGAAAGAATTATAATTCACAAGAAAAAGGAAAACTCTCTTTTAAAATTTGAATAATGATGTAGCTTCTCCTTTTCTCAGCAAATCAAATGGGCTGTCTATGGCAATGTTTATCCATGCCCCTATTTCTGAAAGATCCTCGGGATTCTCTGAAAGGACCAGGTGTTTTCCTTTTAGATGCTCCCTCCATTGCTTTGCCCCAAGGTATCCCACAAAATCCACTGGACTCCAAAATTCCATGTAAAATGTCCTGAACAGTTCCTTTGGCACAATTCTGAGACGAGTCTCCAAATCTGGCTTTAGGGAGTGTCTGTGCCTACCACAAGGGATGGACATGTCAATCATTATCACTGCCAATACAAAATAGGTTAAAATTCACAACAAAAATTTATTTTATTTATCATTTTAGGTATGACTCTTAAGGACATGGAGTATATGCAAATCTGTTATGTTAATTATGTTAATATATGAAAATCTATGTGTTAATTGACACAATTTACTATCCAATCCAATCTCTTTGAGGTAATTGGAACTTCCTCCTAGTATGCAGCCAGCACCAACTGAAAGTGGGAAGCCCTCCAATCAATCAAGGAATAAACGTTTATTTAGCACTGACCAGATGTCAGGTGCTGTGCTTAGCCCTGAGTATACAAAATTAAGCAAACGATAATCCCTCTCAAGGAGTTCAGAATCCTTTCTCTTTTGTACATTGGGTTTTACTTTATATTTTTTCCATAAATAGTACTTTTTTTTTACTATTTTTTCAGTGGCTATCCCTCTGTAAAAGCTCGTTAATGTTAACTGTTTATCAAGGGTATTGAGAGAATATCAAGTGGTTTACTTGATAGTGAGATGCTAATTGCTTGTGGGCAGCTCGGTGGTGCTGTGGATAGAGTGCTGGGCCTGGAGTCAGGAAGGCCTAAATTCAAATCTGATCTCGAATCAGTTGTATGACCCTGGTCAAGCAATTTAACCCCATTTCCCTCCATTTCCTCATCAATAAAATGAGCCGGAGAAGGAAATGGCAAACTACTCCAGTGTCTCTGCCAAGAAAACCCCAAATGGGGTGATGTCGAATCAACTAAACAACAACAGATCAGTGGTATCAGTGACAATAATGAAGAAATAACTGTTATGGGATATTGATAGCAGAGGGGCAACCCACTAGAATGGTGGCTTGTGCAGAAAGCAGTAGCAAGACAACCTCAAATCCTCAGAGCAGGTAGGGCTCTAACCACCCTCTTTGACCCTGACAACTTTGTGTTGGGAAACAGGAGTTTGGATAAGGATGCGGCTCTATATAACCTCCATGTGGGGTCTTGGCTGGGATCCCTGTTTCTCTCTCTGAAGGCTGAAGTCCCACATCCCTCATGGATTCTACATTCATTGTCACGGGCTTAAAGGCCTATGTACTCTAGGCCAATGTACTCAGCCTCACAAGGCTCTCCTTCAAAGAATTGATCCACCTGCCTGGGCAGAAGTGGTATACTGTTTTTAAAGTTCTATTTTTTGTACTTATATTTCAACCCCCACCTTAGCTCCCTCTGAACTTCAGTGATCTGTATTCTTGACACCACTCTTACAAGTGCATTCCGTGGCATCATCTTCATCCTTTAATTCTACCTCTTGCTTCTGGCTTTTGTATCTATCTTTTTAAATTTTTTAATTTATGGAATAAAACAGGAATTTCCATCACACAGTATAATGAAAAGATAATTGCAAATCTATTATGTACAACTTGCTATTTTGTCAAATTTTATAATAATCATGGAAATTTCTTTTTTTCTTTTTCTTTTATTTTCTTCCCTCCCCTTCCTGCTGCCCTAGAGATCACAACAATTAGACAAAAAATAGGTCTATATGTATGTAAATTTTTTCTGCACATACTTCTATTTATCAGTTCTTTCTCTGGATGCAGATAGCATCTTTATTCATTTATCTTTTATTTTTAATTTGTGTATTTATAATAGTCAAAATGACTTAATCATTCAATGTCATTCTTAAAACAACATTGCTGTTACTGTATACAATGTTCTCTTGGTTTTGCTCACTTTGCTCTTTACCATTTCATGCATGTCTTTCCATGTTTTTAAGATCATTGAGCTCATCATCTCTTTTTTTTTCTTTGTTTGGGGGGGGGCTTTTTTTTGGTGAGGTAATTGGGGTCAAGTGACTTGTCCAGGGTCACACAGCTAGTAGGTGTCAAGAATCTGAGGCCAGATTTTTTTAACTCGAGTTCTGCTGACTCCAAGGCTAGAGCTCTATCTGCTGCACCACCTAACTGCACTGAGCTCATCATTTCTTACAGCACAGTAGTATCTGATAACAACCATACACCACAACTTGTTCAGTCATTTTCCAACTGATGGGGATCCCTACAATTTCCAGTTCTTTGCCACCAAAAAAGATAGCTATTATAAACATCTCATTCAAAGTTATAATTATTATTTATGAATTTCCCTTCATCTTTTTTTCCACTGTTTTCTTTCTTAGTCTCTCTTTTTACCCTATCCCTGTTACCTTATCTTCTCCCCACATCATCCCAAGTCCCAATCCTATTCCTCACTTGCGTGGCAGAGAAGATTCCACTGCAACATAGCTTGGGAATGGGTTAGACTCCATTCCAGCTCTGAAATTCTCTGAATCTCTGACTCTCTTATCTTGTATATACAGGGATTATGATTATCCATGGCTTTTCACTTGCTAAAGATTTCTATGCTCCTCTGACTTTGAATTGGCATTAGCTTAAGGAAGGTCGATTTTAGCCTGTTATTTAAACCTTATTTTCTCTCTCACTCTAACTGGACTTTGGGATAGAGGGAGAGTTATCATGTCATGCTATGTGCTCGGTCTTCTGCCTTCAGGGGAAGTGGGGAAATGCAGTCATATATGGGTTTTGTTTTCCGCATAACTAGAGTGTGGAACTGTCAAACAAGGAAGAGGAATTTAAGACAGAAGTTAAATACTGAGGCACATCTCAGCCTCCACAGTTTGATTACTCAGTCAACATAAAGGCACTCCTTCTTCTGGGGTTCATCTTCCTCACTACGGCAGTCCATGGTATCAAAATGGGAAGATGTGAATTTGTCAAAAGAATAGATTCACTATTCAAGGATAGCCTCCATGAAACCATCCTAGCTCACTGTAAGTCTGATCTCCTGTGGATCTCCACAGACACTAGGAGATGAGGGCTGAGAATGTGGGTGACAGTTTCAGAGGAATGCATGATTTGTTGTTCTTATTTTTTCAATTTCTTTGGTGTTAATATAATTTGAAACAAAAGTTTTCCATTTCAAAACATCACCAGGATGACCCAAAAGCCAAGTTTTCATGAATAAGATGTTCAGGGTAGGGATGGTAAATTGAAATCCTATTTAACTTAAAACTTGACCTACTGTTTCCTTCCAAATCTCTTATACTAAATCTGTAACTTTATTTTCCATAGGTTTGCATAATCCAAGTTCAAATTTTAGTTTAGATCCTTAGCCATGACCCCATTCCCCACCCATACCAACTTCCTCCACTTCAACACTAACAGAACCCTTACAGGATTATATAATTGGAGGGCATTCCCTGTCATAGTGCAGTCACTTAGAGAAGATGGTACCTCTTAGAAGAGAGTTCAAGGTTTTTGGACAAGAGCCAGAAATTCTGGCCAAAATGACTCTTCTGTCTCAGTGTTCAGCTCATAAGATGTGCTCCTGCACTCTAGTGCTGATGGACCTAAGCTAGAGATAATGGTTCCTGTCTCTGCATAATAGAGTTGAGGGTACAGTTTCAAATTGTTCTCCAGAATTATGCAGATAGTTTTCCTGATATTGAACCAGTCCTTCATTTCTGGTATAAAGCCCACATGGTCAGAGTGCATGATGTTTCTGATATATTGCTATAATCTCCTTTCTGGCATATGTGACAGGCAGTGAAAATGATCAGTCAGGAGACAGAAAGTCTCATTCAAGGAAAATCAAGAAAGTCAATATCAATGAATGGAAGAATATTGCAAGGAGGGCTAGGAGAATATCAGTGATAAAAGAGGATTACATTAATTCGGGTGTATGGATTTTCCTGGATAAGTATGACTGAATATGAAGTAATCACTATTAAAATGAATTCTTCACAGGGGTGTGTATAGCAGAGACACAGAGCAATTTGAACATCACAGCCACACACTACAATCCTAAAGATAAAAATACTAATTACGGAATATTTCAGATCAACAATCACTACTGGTGTGATGATAGCAAGACACCAAATTCATTGAATATCTGTGGAGTCAATTGCTCAGGTAAGAGCAACCTCATGGATTGAGCACAATAAAACTGCTCAACAAGCTATGCAGATTAAAAACTTACACAATGGAAGAAGCATTAGAATGCCAATAAGAAACTCTTACTTTCTCTTTTTTAATTTATTTATTCGTTTTTAGTTTTCAACATTCACTTCCACAAGATTTTGAGTTCCAAATTTTCTCCCCATCTCATCCCTCCCTCCACCCAAGATGGCATGAACTCTGTATACCCCTTTCCTCCAATCTGCCCTCTCTTCTATCTCACCCCCCTTTCTCTTATCCCCTTCCCCTTCTATTTTCCTATAGGACAGCATAGATTTCTATACCCCATTTCGTGTATTTCTTATTTACCAGTTGCATGTGAAAACAATTTTTTAACATGTGTTTTTAAGACTTTGGGTTCCAAATTTTATCCTCTCCTCCTTCCCCACCCACCCTAATTGAAAAGGCAAGCAACTCGATACAGGTTATACATGGGTAGTCATGCAAAACACTTCCATAGTAGTCATGTTGTAAAAAGCTAAGTATATTTCCCTTCATCCTATCCCACCCCCCATTTATTCTATTCTCTCTTTTGACCCTGTGCCTCCTCAGAAGTGTTTGCTTTTGATTACCCCCTCCCCCAATCTGCCTTCCCTTTCTCGTCCCCCTGCTCTCTTGTCTCCTTCTCCCCCCATTTTCCTGTAGAATAAGATAGATTTCCATACCCAACTGAGTGTTTATGTTATTCTCTCCTTAAACCAAATCCTGTGAGAATAAGATTCATTCTTTCCCTCTCACCTTCCCCCACTTTTCCTACATTGTAAGAGCCTTTTTTTTGCCTGTTTTATGGGAGATGATTTACCCTATTCTACCTCTCCCTTTCTCCTACCAGTATAATCCTCTCTTACCCCTTAATTTTATTCTCCAGATATCACCCCTTCATCTTCAACTCACCAAGTGCCCTCTATCTATCTATCTATCTATCTATACATATGTACATACATATATTTTTCCCCTCCAACTACCCTAATACTGACACTTGTTTTCTATTCAGCTCTGGTCTTTTCCTCAGGAATGCTTGAAAGTCCCCTATTTCATTGAATAACCATTTTTACCCTGAAGGATTATACTCAGTTTTGCTGGGCAGGTGATTCTTGCATGTAATCCTATCTCCTTTGCCCTCTGGAATATTGTATTCCAAACCCTGCAGTCCTTTAATGTAGAAGCTGCTAAATCTTGTGTTATCCTAATTGTGTTTCCATGATATTTGAATTGTTTCTTTCTGGCTGCTTGTAATATTTTCTCCTTGACCTGGGAACTCCAGAATTTGGCTACAATATTCCTAGGAGTTTTCCTTTGGGCATCTCTTTCAGGAGGTGATCAGTGAATTCTTTCCATTTCTATTTTGCCCTCTGGTTCTAAAATATCAGGGCAGGTTTCCTTGATGATTTCTTGACAGATGATGTCAAGGCTCTTTTTTATCATGGCTTTCAGATAGTCCAATAATTTTTAAATTCTCTCTCCTGGATCTATTTTCCAGGTCAGTTGTTTTTCCAATGAGATATTTCACATTGTTTTCTAATTTTTCATTCTTTTGGATTTGTTTTACAGTGTCTTGATTTCTCATAAAGTCACTAGCTTCCAATTACTCTGTTCTAATTTTTAAGGAAGTATTTTCTTCAGTAAGCTTTTGGACTTCCTTTTCCATTTGGCTAATTTTGCTTTTTAGGGCATTCTTCTTCTCAGCTTTTTGGACCTCTTTTGCCATTTGGGTTAGGCTATATTTTAAGGTGTTATTTTCTTCAGTATTTTTTTGGGTCTCCTTTAGCAAGCTGTTCACTTGTTTTTCATGATTTTCTTGCATCACTCTCATTTGTCTTCCTGGTTTTTCCTCTACTTCTCTTACTTGCTTCTCAAAATCCCTTTTGAGTTCGTCCATGGCCTGGGACTAATTCATATTTTTCTTGGAGGCTTTGGATGTAGGAGCTTTGACTTTGTTGTCCTCTCCTGGTTGTATGTTTTGATCTTCTTTGTTACCAAAGAAAGATTCTGTAGTCTGACTTTTTTTTGGACCTTTGTTTATTCATGATCCTAGCCAATTACTTGAGTTTTAAACTCTTTGTTAAGGTAAGAGTCTGCTTCCAGTGTGGAGAATGTACTATCCCAAGCTTCAGGGGTTTTGTGCAGCTGTTTTCAGAGATACTTCTAAGGACCTGTAAATTTTCAGTTCTTTTAAGGTGGTAAGATAAGGGGCAAGGTGTTTACTCCTTTCCTGGCCTGTTCTCTGGTCTATGAGTAACCACAAGCCCTCTTTCCTGTATTGGAACTGTGAGGAGAATTTCCTCTCCACAGCCCCTACAAGCACCACCACACCAGCACTCCTTCTCACCCCACGACTGCCACCCAGAACTGTGACCCAGATCCAAGCATACGCAAATCCTGCACCAGCAGAGAGATCCCTGCAGAGATCCCTCTGATCAGCCACTGGAATCCCCCTCAGTCTGTGGGCTGGAAGCTCCAGAAGCAGCCACCACCGCAGGGCCTCACACGAGGACCGGGGCTGGGACCGCACTTCTCTCTCTCACTGCAGACACAGACTTTTCCCACTGACCTTCCAAGTTGTCTTTGGCATTCCTGGGTTGAGAAGTCTGGAAACCACTACAGCTGCCCGTGATTTAGTCCTCTGAGGCCTGCTCCAGGTTCACTGAGGCCTGCCTTCCCTGAGCACGCACGCCGAACTGCGCTCCTCTCCCAGCCCAGCATGATATACCTTTCTGATCAACCATCCAGGCTGTCTTGGGCTGTAAATTTGTTTCACTCTGTCTTTTTGTGGGTTCTGCTGCTCTAGAATTTGTTTAGAGCCATTTTTTATAGGTATTTGGAGGGCTTTGGGGGAGAGCTCAAGCGAGTCACTGCTTTTACTCCGCCATCTTGATTCGCTCCCCCCCCCCCGAAACTCCTACTTTCCAATAAAGTTTCCAGTCCCTGTCTCATCATTCCCATGCAAAAAGGCTAACTCTTCTTAGGAGACTATCATTTCTTAGTCTTTTTGACTAGAACATGATCAAAGGAATGAACACAAACCTTCAACCTAAAATGGTAGCTACCATTCATTCCACCAATAAATGCTCTTAAACTACTTTATAATACATGTAATGGAAATTTTCATCAATTCAAGCTGATCCAATTAGTCCACATCGTAGGATCATAGATGTAAAGATCTCAGAAGCCATCTAGTCCATCACCTTCACTTCCTAGATGGCTAAAGTAAGGTTCAGGGAAGTAAAGTGATTTGACCAAAGTCATAAAGGAAGGAGGAAATGTTCAGGGTGAGATTTGAACCTGGGTCTTTCAGCTCTAGAATCTCTGCCTGGGATGTGTAGCTATGCTACTTCTAGCCCTGATTGTTTTCTGTGACCAGTGAGCAAAGTTATATTTTTTCCAAACTGCTGTTCTATGTGGTCAATCACCTTGGTGCACTGATTAGAAGGCTAGATTTGGTGACAGAAGACCTACATTTATTAGCTGACAACTCCATGATCATGCCCAAGTCATTTTACTCTGACAACTCCCTAGTCTTCATTACCTCTTAACTTGTTTCAAGGTTGAATTAACCTAATAATAATAACAATAATAATTCACTGTTCTTTTTAATTTGAAAAAAAAAATAATGCAAAAGGATTTCCATTCCTGCCTGATTTTGTTCCTGATTTTTTAAGTGGATGACACTCAACCTGGTGTCATGGACCCTCTACCCTGGGCCTAGAGTCAAGACACCTGGCTTTAAGTTCAGACATTAACATTGACTATGTCTTTGACCATGGACAATTCACATTTCCTCTCTGAGTCTCAATTTTATCATATGAAAAATGGGAATACCTGACTACCTGCCTGCTTCATAGGGTTATGGAGAGAAAAGCACTTTGTAAGCCTTAGAGTGACATAGAAATTCAAGTCAGTTTGATTAAAATGCTGTGTTCCATTGAAGTCTGGAAGGAGATGAATGAGAGAGCAAGCCTTCCTCTACTGCAGTCCCATTTACTTGAAATTTAGGGCAATAATCTTACAATATTGTTTCTACTACCTT